GCCGTTTTAGAGCGTCCATCCTTTAACTTCATGCTGTCTCCTTCAGTAATCACGGCTGTGTGTCAGCGAGGCTTATGTCCCACTATTGGCAGCCTCTCCTCAGGCTCTGATCAGCTCTGTCCTACTGACTGACTGCAAGCCATTAATCTAACAGGAATTAATAATGTACAGACTTGTAAGGTTAAAGCGAGTGGATTTTAGAGGACACGACATTTTCAACCGTCTCCCTGTTGGAGGAAGTGTATAACAGGAGAGTAAACGTTAGTGTCATTTGTGAATCTTAAGCAAGGACTTGACATCAGTGAGACAGATTAAGAGGAAGAGGCACTAATGAAATGAAGCAATGAATAAATTACTGTCAATAAGTTGAATAAAAGAAGGCAGGACTGCTCCATCACTCATCTAAAGACAGTGCAAGTAGCAGCCTCTTGTAAGGAGATTTATGCTCCAAAAAGTGACAATAAATCTACAAAAAACAAATAAAACCATCATGAAGTTATGCGTCTGAAAACAGAGTCTTTCTTTTATTTTCACTGGAAGAACTGGATTGTTGGACGCAAAGTTATCACCGTCAACTAAAACTGACAAAAACTGAAACCGAAAAACCATTTTCATTAAGTGAGATAAATAAAAACAGTAAATAATGGGGAAAATCTGTAACTGACAGGAACAAAATTGTGTGTTTATAAAACCAACAAAGACGTACTGAAACGACAGATATTATCTTTGTTTTTATGTTTCTAAAACTATTTATTAGCCTTTCAAAGTGATTTTACGTCAGTTGTCGGAAAATTACGGCACTCCAATTTCAAAATACAACTGCAAAAATTGTAAAACTACTGCCATAACTAAATGACATTTAACTCATAACTAATGAAAACACAATCTGAAAAACAAAACGTCACAACAACATAAAACTAAACTATAATGAAAGAAAACTGTTGAACTAGTTACTCCTGAAGCTGCACAGCAAAGTCAGAAACACTTCAGTAAGATGGTTGGAAGTCACTTAATGCATGTAAAGGACCACAGCTTCATGTTCGCTCCAAACATTAAAACTAACCGACAGCCTGGTTTGGACAGAGATGCAGAGAAAAAACTGGTTTAATTCAGTGCCAGTGCTGGCTCATCATGAATGATCTTAAAACAAGCCCAGCGTAATGCAGACCAGGTGAGAGTCTGCAGCAGGAGGCGGGGGGATTGTTTGGCTGCGTTTGGTTTCATCAGTCACCTGACAGAGAGAGCTGGCCTGGGCTGTGGGAACAGGAAATGTGACATCACCAGGCTGACATTCAGGAATGTGGGAATGTCAGGCGGCCTGTTAAAGCTCCCAACAAGACGCAGAGGGAGAGAGACTGATGGACAGCGGCTAACTCAACCCGGCTGAGTTATTTCAAACCTGAAGAGTGGGGAAGCATTTAGACCAACTTTAATCTGCCAGGAGGAAAGAAAACAAGCTCCTCCTCTCATTTGAAATGGTTTCTCATCCGTTCAGGTTCAAAGCCACATAACAGCATAGACACAAACAGAGACCCTGTCATCTCAGAGCACTTTAAAAGACAAACAGAGGGTTAGCACGCCCCACGTTTGGAGGCCTCAGTCCTCGACGTGGACGTCGCGGGTTCGACTCCCGGTTCCGGCGACCTTTGCTGCATGTCTTCCTCGCCCTCCTTCCTGTCTGCCTACTGTCAAAAGTATGAGCCACTAGTGCTGCAAAAACTCTTCGGAGAAAAAAATGTGACCTGTATTGCCGATCACCGTCTCTTGTTGCTCATCACCGAATCCGATCACATTCATCTCACTTCGCAGCCTGCATGTGCAGCTCATCTCCTCTTTCCTGTCATGTGAGTTTAAAAAACAAGCACCTATATCAAGCTAAAATGTTAGTTTGTTAGTTTTATCTAAGATATTTGCACTAAAAGCTGGACAAAAATAGGATTTTGTGTTTTGCAGTGAAAGGTTATCTTTCTGCTGATTGCTTTGGGATTTACTTTGCAGCAATGAATTATTATTATTATTTTTTCCATGATCCAGATACTTTATGTGACCTGGATCCTCAACATTTCCATATGACAGGCCCATCTCAAGTTCCTCAGTTGGAAAACACTTTCTGATGAAGCTCATTTGGCAGAACGACTATTGAACAGACCATGTTGTAATTTGATTGGTTTGATGTTATGCTTTATCATAAATGTCTTGTTTTTATTAGTTGTAAGTGAAAAAATAATCATAACTAACCAAAATAAGGGCTTGAATAAATATTCAAGTGGAAATTTGTGAATTAAATAAATGTAATTAATTCACATTTGTTGTCAATTTGAGTTGTTGATGTGAATCTCAACCTGCTGGTTTGTGTCTCCAGCATCATTCTGCCACATTCTGACACCTTCATTTCAAAACCGGCAAGAAGTTTTTTGGCAACTGGATCCTCTTCTCAAAAATCAAACTTACAATTTCTCCCTCCCCTCATACATCACCGAGCCTTGGCTGGCAGTGAAAACGTGGGTGGCACATTAGGCTTTAAGTTCTTGGACGACGCGTGGAATGTCTTGACCACTGGAGACCGGAAGCGTCCACAGCGAAGTGAAGCTGAGTGGGTGGTGCAGTACGACCCGCCCGTTCAGTTCTTTTATTTATTCCTGCATGAAAATGTGCGCTTGCTAACTTTACTTTGACTTCATGCACTGTAAAACATTTGAGCTGCATTTAGTTGTGTCTGCCGTCTTCTACGATTTAAGTCAAATAAATTTAGCCAGTTTTCTATTTTGAATCTAAATGTGAGTTTGTGAAAGACAAACTTGGTGCAGTGAGTTGTGTTAACTTCTTATTAATCTTGCCAAACCTCCAAGAGTTGAATAAACAAGTTTTTATGTTAGCACTTAAAAACAGAGAGAAAAAAAAAAAACAGGAGTGGAAACTATTTCCCAGAATGCTTAGCGGCATGTTTTTGTATCCTCAGATGGAAGTGAGTTACATTAATCTGACTCCTGTTATTAAGGGAAATGTTTATTTTAAATCTTGAGGATAATGTCCTGTTCACAGTAAAAGTTTTTAGCACAATTTATTGTGATGTTTAATGAAATTTATTATCAGATCAGAAATTTTGTTCACTCAATTTGAAACAAGAATTTAAATTATCCTAAAGTAAAATAAGTATTTTAACTTGATATTGTGAGTAAAATAATAGAGAAATGTGGCTCTTGAACGAGGACAGAGCCGTTCTTTTTGTTGCATATTGTGAAATAATTATTTGGTTAAAAATGCAGCATTAAGTTAAAACTCTCAATTCAAAGTTCATGAACATAAAAAACAAAATTTAGACAACTTGTCTCTTATTGTTAAATCAACTTCATGAACTTTAACTTCTCAGTTAAAACCAATTAACTCGTGTTGACTTTAATTGCATTGTCAAGGCAGCATTCAATTTTCAAGTTAAACCACCTTCAAAAGTTTTACAGTGTAGCATCAACATAAAATAACGTGATTCTTAACTCTGCAGGTTCTGAATCTGATCAACCTTTCACTTCATCGGTATAATTAAAAAATATGATCTGAAAATCTCCTGAGAGTAAATAACTTAATGTTTGAGTAAAAAGTCAGGAAAAGTCAACCAAAATACCTGTTCGCTACAATGCTAACAATGCTAACTGCTTGCGTTCTCGCACGCAGTTTATTCATCAACCCTTCTCTAAACGATAGTCAAACTATTATTTTATAAATGGAATTTTCTAACTTTATATGAATGAGAGAAAAACGTAGAGAAGTTTATTATAGTTAAGAAAATGTTAAAAAGTAATTCTGTAATCTCCAGAAGGTCTTTCAGTAAATTGGTCACTGCTGAAGTAAAACTGATTACTTCACTGTTTCTGATATCAATTCACACTATTGAACAGTCATAAGATCAAGACTGCTGATAGAAAAAGGTGAAAAACAATAATTATCTTTTCATTAATGAATGTGTTAGCGGATGAGGATCCATATAGGCCACCAAGTTGACATTATTTTCTGTAAATAATGTATTAAATGCAGAGATTTTTGGCAGTATCTCCACTACTGCAGCTCAAGTTCATCGTCTGTTGTGTCCTGTATTTCTTAAAAAGTGGTTCAAGGAAGGAAGAGAGGAAAACTGCTGACCAGATAATTAATGACCGTTGAGAGAAAAACAACAGATGGCTCAAAATGTTAAAGAACAAAATCCTGGTTCTGATAAAAATTTAAAAAATGGTGTTAGAAAGTCCAGAGCATTGGTGGATGATGAGTCATAAAGCCTGGTCATAATGTTATGCCTGATATATGAAGCTGACTTGATACATAAATTAAAAATGACAGCGAGTTTCTGAAGGTTAGCATCAATATCTCTGAACAATATTAACAAACTTAACAAAACTTCCCAGATGTGAACAAAATAATCATTTTAATCAGTCTTATTGTATTTTGTTCCGAAAAGACAATAGTTATTCAAACTAATAGAAACTTTATTCAAAGCATGAAATCAGACACAGAAAAGAAACTGGAATGTGTTAAGAATGTAAAAAAGACTTTCTAAGCACTAAATTTAAAACAACAAACATTCAGGGATGAAAAGATTTTAAGCATCGATGAAACCAAAAGTTTCCCATTCTCCTCTCAAACTCTCTGACATCATGGATCTGGCTGTTCCCAACTAAACGACATCGCCACGGAGTTGCCAGTCTCCTCAACAGACACAAACATCCACTTTCTAAGTTTCTCTGTGCGGAGCCGCTGCCAAAACTTGAGCAAAGAGTCGGACCCGGAGCCCCGGCGGAGCCCCGCTGCTGCCTGGGAAACCAAACGGAGCCACTCCGGGCCCCGCGCTCCAACAACAGACCGCCCGCGTCTCCCGTCACTCCCACAGCCGAGTTTAAGGGGGAAACGAGTCCGGTGAGGGAGAAGTGGGGGGACGTCTCCCCACACTCGCTCATGCTCTCACTCACACAGAGCTCGTGTGCGAGTTGCCGGCGCCGCTGAGTGACACTCACCCCTGTAGCGGAGGCTGTCATCGTGGTGGTTGTGCTGGAGGTGGTTCTCCAGCGCCGGGGGGCTGCTGGCGCCCAGCTCTGCCAGTTTGCGGCTGGTCGCGGACAGCTCGGATCGGAGGTTGGTCACTTCCTGACTCGCTGACTGGATGGCCCCATCGATCCTCTGCGCCAGCTGCTTGTTGTCTTCCATCATTTTAAGGATTTTCCCCTGAGGAGCAAATCCACACAGAGCAGCATGGTGTCAGCAGGAGCGTTACTCTGGGCGAAGCTGACACCCTCTCCTCTTCCTCCTCCACCTGCACTTCTTCTGTCTCAGTGTTTAGTTTGCACATAAAAAGCAGAGTGAGGTCCTTCCTGTCCACCGGCCTGACCTGTTACTGCATAAAAGACCTGGAGAGCATGTGTGTGTGAGGAGGAGAAGGAGGAGAAGTGCTGCAGCGCGGCAGGAGGAGGGAACGCGAAAGCTCCCGCCGTGCAGAATGTGCTGCGAGCAGCTGCTCTCTGAGAGGACCCCGCACACTGAGATGACATGCAGCCTTTTAAATGGACTGTACCATGTGCTGGAGGAGCGGGGGACTGATGTGCTGCCCGGCAGCAACTCTCCAACTGCACCGTGTGCTGCAAACCCCACACCCTGCAGAGCCTGTAATGAGTGAGCAGTGGCGTCTGCAGCGGAGGGAAAAGTCCTGATTGCTTCTCTGTACTTCTGCTCCTCTACGTTTGTATCTTTTTCACATGTGCTCCCACTTTCCTCCCCACTTCCTCCTCTTCTCACTCGCACGCCCGCTTGTCTTTTTGTCTCTCCCACCCCTCCTTTTTGTTTCTATTATACATCCATCTCTTTGTCCTGGGAAAGCTCACCCCCACGTCGGTGGGAGGGGAAGGGGGCTGGCACAAGGCGCCCAAGGGGAAAAGCATTTCCACACACAGCAAACTTCGGGAAAGGACAGAGACTCGGCTCCATAAAGGGGGGGGGGGACACAAAGACAGGAGGCCTGGAGCATTACAATCGAGTTGTGAACATAGAGGAGCTTTCCCGCTTTGATCAAAAACAGTTGAAAGGATTATTTTCCAGCTTATCTGTGGGCTGAGTAAACAAACCCCATCGCCTTCCTTATCTCCACTGTTACATAAAAAAATAAATTCCATCACACAGACAAAAGGTTACACTGGCGGCGTACGCTGCTCGTCTTATCTCAAAATATCCCTAAATACTGCTGAGCCATCGCAATTTCAAATCTACGTTTGACATTTTCATTTCCTCGTGAGAACAAAAACGGTGAGAAGCTGGAGCCATCATCCTCGACTCAGATGATAACATCACCGGGTTAATATTCACACATTAAAGGTGACATAATATGCTTCCCTGAACAGGAAGGAAACATGTTCATTCCATTTTTTGCACAAAATCATCCTTAGATAATAAGAGTTTAGTCTATGTTAAGCTCACTGAGATGTTTTAGGGCAACTTATCACTTTAAATCCAAATACGTTGCTGCTGGCCACAACTCCACACTTACATTTGGCTGTGAAAATGGCTGCAAAAAGATGTGCAAATATACACTCATACATCTTTGAAAAGCAGAAGTGGAGTCTCCTGCACAATCAACATGACTGCCCTAGTTGTCACAAGACTTCATATTTTTTAAAGTCGACTATAATACAATAAAAGTCGAGTCAAAGCGAAAATACGTCACAGTAACTTATTAGCTACATTCACAGCAAATATTCACAAAAACTTACTTTTATAATGTCTATTATGCAGAATTAAAAGAACAAGAAGCAGTCGGGTCTCACTTTTTTCAGAATTTTTTAAAAACATTTTTTGTCACTAGTTGCCTTAATCTGACAGGAGGGGGACAAAGGCATCACTCTCAACCAAAAATAACCAATCAAAGACAGGAGGAGGGTCTTAACACCGTCAATCAACCTCATGAATGAGCTGCTAAATGTACTAATGGCAGAGAAACAACTTGCAGGAAAACCATTTATCTGCCAGTGGTGGCCATGCTAACTAGCCTTAGCGTTCATGACAGGCTCTGCTGGCTGCAGTGTAGTTGAAAGCAAGAGAGGAACTCGAGGGTGATTGGCAGCGCTAAGACCCGCCTCCTGATTCTGACTGGTTGTTTCTGGTTAGCACTGGAAGGCAGAGGAGCTTGACTTTTTTTCACCAATTAACATGGTGAAAAAAAGAGTTTCAACAAATATGTAAAAATATATGTTTTACAAAAGTTAGATACTGCGGCTTTAAGTTGTTTGAGGGTAAGAAAATATCTTCCCTGTTTCCTGGGTCAGCTTTCCTACCAGACCTGCCCAAAATACCTCCCACAGAGGGCATCCTGACGGCCTCCTGAACACAGAACCGGTGTCAAATGATCCCTATCCGCCTGTCTCATCCGTTCAGCGGAAGCTAATTTCTGCTGCATGTATCTACAGGATTATCTTGTTCTTTCCGTCTTCAATGAGCTGCTTTATATTTCAGGGGCTTTGTCCGCCAGCAGCAATATTGTCTGGGGAATGCTCTGGTGCAGGTAGGCGCTTTATCAGCAAATCTGTCCTGAGTTAAGGACCAAGTGTATTCAGGACAACATAAAGGATCAAAGAAGTTTCAGTTTAGATGCAGCTAGTCCTTTTCAACAAATCAGCTCAGGAGTTAAAGCTGGAGTTTGTATAACAGCCAGTGTAACATATGAAGAAACTGAAACTGAAAGGTTGACTATCTTGGTCAAAACATGCAGAAACAAACCTTTTAAATGGTTCAGAAAGAATAATTAGGGATTCTAAAACTTATGTAAAATAAATAATAAAGTATAACATCACTCACAAACCATAGAATTAGACTGAATAGATCTGCTCTTATGGATTTGATATAATAACGAATCTAGGATTTATTTCAATATTGAGGCCGATACAGATATTAATGTTGAATTGATGCATTTTTTACTCTAGTTTAGATACATTGGTGAGAAGGAACAACGGCATGAACTGTACCAGGTTCTTTTGATGCATTATTTCTTAAAAAGAGCGGTCCTAAACTAAACAAACACTGGCTATGATTTAGGCCTGATGGCACCTTTCTGCTGCCAGGCGCAGCGTCATTAAGCACCTGGTGGTCCGATTTCTGCTCACAGGAGGCGGGCTGGCCCAGAATCAAAGAGTGGGGTAAGGAGCTGACAGAATATTAAATCAAAAGTCAAAAACATTCAATTTGAGGCAATCATGGAGGAAAGGGAAGGGATGATGAACGCAACAGCAGACCGTTAACCTTCATGACAGAACAGCATTTTGACCAACAATATTATCCACAGGTTGGTAATTAAAATAGTTTGCTAAATGATTTTATGAGCTATGCGTTCAAACAGATTTTGTGTGTCACAGCTCGTCTTTCTGCTGTCCGTCTACATGCCCAACATCTATGTCCACACATGACAGTTTTTGCTGTTACCAAAGGAAATGTGCAGCCGCAGCAGTCATGTCTGATCGCATGTTAGCAGATCATTATCACTGTCTAGACAGTCACATCACTGCCCCCGAATAATGCCCTGCCCCTGCCTTAAAGCTACTGGCAAACAAAAAATTCAGGACAGCAACAGAGCCGGACAAAGGACATACATAACTTTCCTGAATTACATAATTTCTTAGTCTTTTTCCCTTAAGAAGCCGCTAACTCCAGCCTGGTTTCAACCTCATAAGACTGCAGTCCCAGACGCTCAACTCTGGAATGCAAGGAAATGAATAATTCATGGGTCAAAGGTCACAGGTTTGTCCCAGATACACATCAATAACCACACAAATACTCTGAGGCCACGTCCAAAACATGCAACATCTCTCTCTGCCTCTACAAACTTGTGGAAAGTACGTGCGGCCTCGGCCAAGACCTCGGGCCAGTGCCCAGTTAAACCCTGGGAGTAACTGGTTTCCAGCTGTTTAGGGTCTCCGTTTGTCCATTTGTTTGATGCCGTTAATGGGAAGTTTAATTAAGTGTGCCGTGGGTGTGCAGTTAAAAAGAGGTATTGATAAACAGTCACCATGACCGTCTGCCAGAGTTAATTGAATATCGACTATTTCTCCACAGACGGGAATGCTCCCCTATGATCCCAATAACTAAGTGATATACGGCTGGGCTCAACAATATACACTGGTTTTCACCGAGAGCCCAGGAAATCGCTGCACTTCACATTACTGATGTCCAGCAAGCGCATTGAAAAGGTAAAGAGCTCAGCGGCATTAACTAAAGGGAATCATTCCAAAGATGTCTTGAAGCTGGCCTATTATTCTTCTTTAACGGTTTATGATATTTCTATGGGCTTTACAAAACATTTTTGCACAAAACCATTCTTAGATGGTAAGATTTTAGTCTGCTCAGTTCTGCATGGAGCTCCCTAAGATACATGGAGGATTATTTTTCTTTTGTTACCTCGTAATAGGTTTTGTGTTCTCTCACAATAATGTACTGATCAGTTTACGAGGCATAATTTAATACTAAAAGTTTTTAACGGAGGCCACCGTACTTTTTGCTATTATATCAGGTTTTTGTAACTTTTTTTCATGTATGTTAGTGATGTTAATATCTTACGGAAAACAGGTTTATATTTTTTAACTCTTTGGTGCAGAAAACTTTTTGAAAATTGATTTATTCACTGCATCTTTATGTTTGTTTGTGAGAGGTTGAGATAGATCCGCACATGAAGCAGAAAGTACGGTAAGAAAGGCTCACGGTATCCAATTAACGCGTGAACTGATCAGTACGTTTTAAAGAGAAAAGCGATAGCTTTGCAAGGTAAGACCCACAGGGGGCGCCGTAGTAGTTCTGCGTTACATTCACATATTAAATCATTTTTTTCTCAAGTTAAATGCAACCAAATTTGTTTTCGGTTTTACCAAAGTTATTTCTATTTGCTAAATGCCACAAAATGAGAGAAAATATTTTTGATGTTCTCAAAATGTTTACAGACAGTAGTTGGCATTAAACAATTGGGTGTTTCTTCACAAGCTTTCGACAAGCATTGCTCCAATTCTGACCTGTTTCTCCTAATAAAACTGGTGTAAAAATATGTCTTAGTGTATTGTATACTTCTGGTTTCAGCGGTGTGGTAAATTTACCAATTATATAAACATTAAATCCCAGATTTTACCTGATTAATTCTGACTGTACTGAATCAACTTCTCTTACACTCCAGTAGTTCATAGTAGTTCATTTTTAAATAT